AAAGTTGCACTCGGCCCCTAAGAATATAAGCTTCTTAATCAGATAACAAGGATTGCTTAGGATGGAAACCGAAATAAGATCAAACATATTTTCTAAGTGAAGCACGATTACTAGTCATACAGCATCAGTGTCATGCCACTCCTACTTTCAGAAATGGTCTAGGAACACAGCAGTGAAAAAACTCTACAGCTGATACAAAGTGTATCTTAAAAGCGTATTACTACACTTAGCACAAGGAACCAAGTTAGTATTGCTCATACTGAGACAGTTCTTAACTTCTAAGAAGTTAGAAAGAAGAAACCAGCAAAATTTTGCTGAGATTTAGACATCAGCAGAAACTTGTTTAATTTAGACACATAAAAGGGTAACTGGACATTAGAAAATACTTTTCAAATGTGTATGCGATTTTAAAGGAACCATGGATCAGTTGTTCTGCATATGCACTGGGAGAAGGCAGAGAAAATACAGATAATAAAACAGGGAAAAGATTCTAGTTTGAAAGTTAATTCAAGCCCATTATTCAAAGAAACTACAGCAACTACTACAGAAACTACTGTCAGGGAAATTTGTGAACACAAATAGCACAAATATATCTTAAGCCTATCTTAGAAGGTCAGGTATCATTGACAAATTGTCAAAGCTGACTGACCACAGTACAAGGACAACTGAAATACTGAAAACAGATCCCACTTCACTTCAAACTCAGGAGGAGGTAAAAACTGCTCATCATGTACAGCAAGGTACCACCAAACAATAACACACAGAAGCCTTCAGAAGCAAAAGTATCCTGCTGAGCTGCTACCAGAAAGCTTCAGCATCCAAAGTACTACATGGAAAGGTCACTGGTCAGTGGTGGAAGCACACTGCCCCAGAAGAGAAATGAATTGTACAACCTCTCCAAGAGCCCCCAACAGTCCTTCAGTTCTACAAGCCTGTGACATGCTTACTGTGATCCTGAATAAAACCTGTAATTACCAGTTACAGCCAAATTTGATCTGAAAGTATCATATTGATGTAAAAAGTGAAAAGGTTGACTTTAAAACAATCGCCCTCCTGAAAAATTTTGCAACCTTTCTTTTTCCCTCCCCAAAATGTTTGCAGTATTAGTCTAATTCAGCTGGTAAATTCTGTTTATTCCCAAATTAGCCATTAATATATTTTCCTTTGATTTTTCCCAAGTCCTGATTAACCTTGTGTATTTTCAGTGACTGAAAGCAATATGTAAAAACCTAGGAAGAAAAACTTAAAAAGTGTCTTAATATAATGTAAACTTCATAATTTCTCACCAAATTATCTGTAGACAGTGGAGTGTGCAACTGGCCTTGGCACAAATATGCTCTGCCAAGAAACTGGTTCACAGGAAATCTCCCTTTAAAATACATTTCTAGACAGTCTCTGCTCATTTCCAGACACCCCAGCTAAGATAAAAAAAAAGGCATTTTAAGATTTAAAAAATGTAACAAATAATTGAGATTTCTTGTTTTTTTAAAATGCAGACCTACGAAAAATGTAGTGTCTAACTGCATGTCAGTGTGCGAACATTACTCCATAAAGCTGTATATCAGATCTGGCACAAACTCATTCAAATTTATTAAAATTTAAAGTTAGACTTTTGTCATTCCAAATGTATAGGAAAATATATCCTTTATTTAACAAAGCTCCCAGATCACTCAGTCATAGAACCCTTCACAGTGAACAAAGAAAGTTTACTTTTCTAATAGCCATTAACAGAATTGTTAACATATAAGCAAAATTCTTAGTAGAATTTTTAAAGGACAGATATTAGCCCACATGATTTTGTATGGATGTCAGTGCTGCACCTCAGTTTTCAGACAACAGATAGAATTTGAATGGCCTGCAGCTCGGGAAAAAAATAAAACTGTTTTATTAGAAACTCTGTCTGCTTGAAATCCAATCACTTATACCCATGGATTGAAACAAATACATCCAAATTAAGAACCTGGACCACATTTTATAAAAGTCAGCTCAATTAGCAACAGTCTTTCATAACTAGGATGTTATCTTTTCTCCTTTTGCCCAGTAGGGACAGTTCACAAAGACATTTCCTTCAGTCATAACCAAACTGCTAATGTTACTTTTCAATTTTATATTCTTATATTACTGTTTTATATTGTTATAGTATACCTTGCATATTAAACTTCACAACCCGCATTTTGTTGACTGATTATAAAGAAGTGATAACCTAGAGGCCAAGTTTTAAGTGAAAATGTATGTTTAAACAATTGCTCTCCAAAAATAGAAAAGTGATGTTTTTCACTTCAGGGAATATTTTTAAGTAGTAACTTTAACAACACTAAATACAGTATGTCTTATAAATGTTTTTATTCAATAAACTGCCTAAATGACAAACCTGAAATGCTTGTTCAGCACATAAAACATACAAGTCAGTGCTGAAGTTATCAGATGAGTCACCTGCAAATTTCCCTTGACTGGCTGATTTGATCAACTCATAAGCATCCTTCAAAGCCTGAACATCTGAAATGAAAAAAGAATAAAGAATGTAACAGGAAATTTAGGCTTCAAGGTGGACCAGCAGACACAACTGCATTATTTCAAACTATAAGGCATCCCGTTTCTCCTTTACAGAAATAAATAATGCTTAAGGAAAATAATATCAAACAAATGTTGTTCCAAGTCAGCCACAGTTGTAAGATGAAGAAGCATTAACAACCCTCTTGCAGTTTAAAACCACCAATGTTAGCACATGAGAAAGCAAACTAGTTTGAGGGCCCGATTCAACTCCCTGAACTCAATAGTACTTCTTCTCCTGACACAGAAATTAAGCTGTTACACGAAGTAAACTTGTCTGGAAGAAAACTAGATTAAATTAACACCACTACAGCAGCTACTTCTCTTCATAGCTAAGCAGCACAGTCAAAGCATTCACAGAAGAAATACTTTTTCGACATATTTAGCAACAAAACAGATTGAGATCAAGCAGTGATCGCGTTTAAAGTGCGGTTTTTCTCTTTTAAAGGCGGGCGAGACTTCGTCCCCCCTTGCCTCTGACCTCGGCATCTCTCGGCCGCGAAGAGCCGCTCCCTGACGGCCAGCTCCATGCCGCGCACTGCGCCGGGCCCTGCTCGGCCGCCCCCCACGAAGTTTCACCCCGAGCCACGGAGCACGAGGCGTTTTCCGATGAGCTTGGCGGAACCACCGAGAGAACCGGCGGCCGGAGGCGTCCGCCCGGAGACCCGCAGTCAGGGCGGGCCCCCCTGCTGCCTCCGGGCCCTCTCCTCGCGCCCGCCGCCACTCGAGACTGCCGTTACTCTTCGGCCGCGCGTGTCCCAGCAACGCTCCACAACAGATCCCGGTAAGCTGCAGGGGCCAACCCGCCGGCCCTGCCCGCTGCCGCGATACACAGGGACCGCTTTCGGCCCCTGGAAACAACCCGCCACCGGCCGCCAGCGCAGCGTGAGGCACCCCGACGAGTCGGAGGGAAAGTAAAAACATCCTCCTCCGGTAACGATCGCTGCTGCCTTTGAAGCAGTGTTAACCGCTGCGGCTTGTGCCACAGCACGTGTCACCTACTCCCCCTAAAAACCAGTGCATGTAACGCACGCTTTCGTGATTAAACTGTATAAAATAAACTTCTCAGCCAGCCGCAAGGTAGCAAAGGCAATGACTGGCAGCCTCCTGCAGATAAAACTTACTGAGAAATGCTGTCACTGGTCCTTTTTGTCCCTGTCTTGAGAGCTTCTAACATGAAACCTTTGGAAGTAGAGCATACACCACCAGTGATGGAAGCCTGGGGAGCAGGCAGAACAAAATGCCAAAGTACGTTTTCATCATTTCTGCCAATGCAGAGAGGAGCCATGGGCTGGAGTATGAACAATTCTCTTTTGAGACTTGTTTCACTGCATGTCACCAGGCACAAGTTTATGATTAAAGAAAAAACAAACGAAACCCAAACAAAACCAACCAAAGCAAACAAGCAAACAAAACCCTTCAAACAGTCCAGAAAAGAGAGAAAGTCAAAAACCCCCTGGAAGCTCCCTGGCTGCCCTGACATGAGGACACCAAATGAAGCATTTAGGCCTTCATAATTTCCTCCAATTGCTTCTTCATGGCAAATTCTATGAGGTAAATCACCATAGTCATGCAGACAATAGAAAGGTTTACATATATAAATTCAATTTTAAACCTAAGCCCTTTGCATTTTCTGCTAAATTGAAATTCTGTGTGGGGCAGGTATTCAGTTCCAATGGACAGAACACATCACTCTTATGTGTGGTGTTGCTGGTGACTTTCCAGAGACATTTTCTTGCAGCCATCCTTAGCTGAATGAAAGATGACTATTAGCAGGGCCATAAGGGTAACAAAAAATATAAATGGTAAGTACAACGAATTCTTTTGCTAGAGGCCCAGCTCCTGAATAAGTCACATATGCTGTGTATTTCAGAACAGTAGAAGGTCCTTCGGTTTACAAAGCATGGGAAACATTGCACGTATGTACAAGAATCTGATGAGAATTCAGCAGTAGACTCCTTCCTATTCTCTATCTGTTCTCCTACCTGTCCACAAAGCCCTCTGAAATTAAGTAACTTGTCTGAATGTTAATAAATATGTATGAATATGCTTGTATAAATGTTAATAAATAAGACTCATCTGTGTACTTTAGGCGGGAAAGGAAACAAAACCCTACAGTGAATCTGCGGTGATTTCTGAAGAAGAAAGCTATGTATTGGCCTTGTGTAATTATGTCAGGTAGTTACAGCAACGGCCTACTGGGACTTACCGTGGTGCCCGTACCATGTTAGCACGCACACTTCATACCTCTTAACACGCGACCCAGCTACGGGGCAGCGGACAGGCGCCGCGCCGGCCACCCCCAGCCCGTGGGCGGGCGTGGGTCCCTGATGCGCGTGCGCTTCGGCTCGTCCGGGGCTGCGGCGGCCGATGTTTCTTAGCGACGAGGCGCCGCCATGCGCGGGCTCTGGGAGGTGGTGCTGGTTCTGCTGCTGGTGCGGGTGACCCTGCCCGGAGCCGCCGCCGAGCTCGCTGCCGGGACCGCGCATCGAGCCCTTCCCCGAAGCGAGAAAGTGGCTTCGCGCCGAGCCCCGGCGGCCCGGGCCCTCTCCCAGACCTCCGCCGCCGGGCCCTGCTGTGACGGTCCCACTGCTCACATTCGTCGCCGCGCCCCGCGGGCAGCCCGCCATCGCCTCTCCGCCGGCGGCTTCCCCGCCCGCCGCCTGCCGCCCGGCGCCCGCGGCCTGCGCGACCCTGGGGCCGCCGAGTCATTCCGCCTGTCCGGTGGCAGCAGGTGAGCAGGGGACAGGCCCGCAGCGCAGCTGGCGCCGCTTCAGGCGCTGCTGCCCCTGCACCCGGGCGGGCAGTGGGAGCCGCCGTCCGGCAGTGCTGGTTTTGCTGCCGTGCGGGCCGCGCCTGCGGGCACGGGGCAGTTTAACCCCGAGTGGAGGGCTTGGGAAGAGGTCCCGTGGCCAACACCTTAATGGCCCGAGTAGAGCCGGGCTTGGTTACTGCGGTGAGGCCACTGGCGGTGGGAGCTAGTAAGTTTTACTTCAGGGAAAAAGAACTTTAATATACAGCTTGAAGACAGTGAAGCGACAGTGAAGCGGTTCCAGATTGCGAGATGCTGTCAGTGAGGAAGATAGCTTCAGCTGCTTGGAGAGTTCAAATACGTGGATCTTTGCGGACCGTCTTTGCAGATGCACTTGTGAGGAGGACCGAGGAGAGCTCTAATACGCAGACATTAAATTACCACTTTTTGTTCCAGGAAATTTCAGAGTGATTTCTGAATATTCAACTAGAGAGTATCCTCAGAGTTACTACAATGACGAGAGAGCCTTTCAGTAATTAATTATCAATGCGAATTGTACAATATCTCATGTAAAGTCATGAAAAATAATAGTGTTCTGTGACTGGCATTTAGTAATGTAAAATATGAAATGATGCAAGAATAGTATCTAACAGTTTGCTGGGGGGGGGGGGGGGAACTTGTCTTTGCAGGTCTGTAAGTCAAGTGTGTGTTGAAAAATCAATCCTGTTCAGAAGTAATGCTCCTTATCCAACTTATACCGTTCCTGTCCCTGATGGACCTGTTCTGTTCTGTGTGCAGCTGCATGACTGTAAGTAGCCTATCTTTCCATGCATTTAATTGACAGATTGCCTCTGCTTAGGGATATTTTTTTTTTTAAACTTTCAACTTACATGTTATGATTTTTACTAAGTATTTGGGCTGTTAAGAGTTCCAGAGAGACCACAGTGACTCAGGATCCAATCTCCAAAGACAAACAAAACCAAAGATCATTGCAGTTGGTTTAAGAGTAGAGTCTCTTGCTAAATACAAATCAGCTTTTATCAGTTGTTTCTGTATCTGAGTTTGCTACACTTACAGCAACAAATAAGGGTTGATGTTTGAAATGTACCGCTATTGCTTTTACCAGAAAGTGATTTGTTATATCTTGGATTCTTTATTTCATATGCTTATTTTCATACTTTTTTTCTCTTCTGGCAATGCTTTTTCTCTACTAATCATATACCCTCATAGGATTAACACTCCATTAACACTTTTTTCCTCTTTCTGCTTTCCACATTGTATGTCAGTTGGCTGATTTCATGTCCAGCTCTGACATTCATTGAAATTCACTAACATTTGAACACTTACGGTTTTCCCATTTGAGTCTTTTGCCTGGGAGTTTTGACCCACAGTCCCATCTAGTTCTGACCCAAATCATAGGCCATTTTAGGTTGGGAGGGGCTCAGGAGGTTAAGTGGTCCAACAATTAGTCAAAATAGGGTTAGCTTCCCATTATCTAGTCCTGCTTTCAGGTCTTCACAGCTGATGACAATGTTTTGCATACGGGGAAGAGCTGAGAAACAATGGGAGCCTCATAGTTACGTGATAAGTAGTAGTGCTAGAACTTCACCCATTCCAATTTTCAGTAGGTCTCAGAGTAAAGATGAATTTTGATGAGGATTTAACCATAGCTGAAAGTGCCATCAGCCTCCTGGGTATTGCAGCCTCTAACTTGGAAGTAGCTAAACTTTATCCTTTTCCCATACCACCCATATCTAATCATAGGATTAGAAGAATTCTGAATCTGTAATCTTGTCCAAAGGAAGGATCATCTGTGTCCAGACGGATGTCAGGAGATTTTTCTGTCAATTGATTATTTGGGCCCTGTATCTATCATGTGATTTGACCAACTGAACAAACCATAGACATTTGATTGCACATGTCTGTTAGGTGTAGCACACCTGGGAACAACAGAATTCACTGCTTACATAGCCTTTTCTTTTTCTGTGCTTGCTGAAAGAAATCTGAGAAACTTCATTTGAGATCACCTGAAGGATGATAAAGTTCTCTGGTAGAAACAGGCTTCTCCCCTTCGGCCTTCCCCAAGGAAACATAGAAATACACATGTTCTCATCAAGTGATTGTGGAAGACGCCTTTCCAGGATGGACTTGACATGAGCTGCATCTGGCAGAAATATAATCAAGCTAACTCCAGATGGCCTCCTGGAAAAGGGCGAGTGGGAACAGGCTCTGACCCTAATGAGCTATTGTGGCCAGTAACTAAGATGGTGTGATGCACAAACATCATTCACCATCGCAAGTAGACACCAGCATAGTTTTCAAGTTTTACTAATACTTCTTCAGAAAGGATACTGCTAAAAGATGGAGGTTTTCTTATTCCTCTGCTTGTTACTAATGTCTCTTTCCATGACTGTCCTCATTCTTTCCTGGCTGCAGGACTCTTTCAGCTGTCTTTTCTGAAGTATAAAACTTACTATGCTTCGCCCGGTCATCTTTCTTGCCTATTTTTTTCACTTTTTACTGTTGCCATCCTTCAGTTGCTTTATGTTTCTGCTTTTTCATACTGTTGTTCTCTATCTGACAGCTGTCCAGAACTCTGGCATTCCTCTAACCTTGAGAGCTAATCACACCCGATCTTTCTTTTGTCCCCTCTGTAGCCCTTTTTTCCTTTGCAGTTTTTCCCAGTACTGCCTGTCTTGTGCTAAGGATTGAGTTTCATGTATGTCTTAAACAGATTTTAGATTGTATTGATACTAAATGGAGCAGTGTGACTGCTCACTACATCCCTAACAGTTCCTTCTGTCTGATGATACTGTAGCTGGCTGAGTCAGGCAGTCTTGCTGATCCAACTGAAACTAACTCTTTAAGAGGAAGATATCAGCTCTCAGGGACAGTTGTAAATCCTGGATATTTTCAAAATATATAAAATACTTTAAAAAGCATTCCTGTTTCACACACTAACTTCTCAAGATAACAACTTTGTCTTTAGCTTTTGCAGGTGTTAGGAGAATATTGCTGCTGTTTCCACTTCTAAATCAGTGGAAGAACTAAAATAAGTTTTAAACTTACAAGAACCATCCATGAGCCTGACTCCCGTTTTCTTTTTTTTGCTGTTGCTTGGTTTGGTTAGGTTTGGGGTTTTTGTTTGTTTTTGTTTCGGTGTGTTTTTTTTGGTTCTTTTTTTTTCTTTTTTTTTTTTTTGTTTCAGACAAATTAAATTGTCTGAAATTCTTTTTTTCCCTTTTCTACAAGATTAAATACCCTTTAGTAGCTGGCGTGCTTTCTTAAGTAGACTGCCCTATGAACAACTTATACATGTCTTTTCTCTGAAAACTTGAGCAGTTTGGATATCTTAAGTTTTGCAGAAGGCCTTTTCTTCCAATTTTCATGTATATTTTGCATTATGTAGAGTTGTTAGTCTGCATTAGCAGGTACTCAGCTCTGATAGCAGGAGAGTACTTAAAGAACTGCATTCCAAAGAAATGGTTGTGATTAGCACAACTATCAATGCTTTCCTTTTCACTGTAATGGTTATACCCTCAAGTGAATAATAAGAAAGCTGTTCTGTGCAACTATTTTTGTGACTGAAATAGGAGTTTAACACTCCTTTGGCCTTTATGACATTAAAAGATTTAAGCTGGACTAATGCTGTATTTGGATATAAAAAAGCTTTTATTTCAGCCTGCTGCTCTATACATCTGAGGATCTGCTCAACAACAAAATTACATTGAGAGCTGAAGTTTTGGAGATTTTCTTCATGCTTCCCTTCCGTCCCCCTAACCTACTAGACAGCCTAAATTCTTCTTTGGTACTACTGTAATCAAGGATACTGCCACTCACTCCTATTGTCAGGATGATCTGTAGTTCCTCAAACCTTGTAAGATGTTTTATTTGGATGGATTCAAAAGTTTATTGACTCATTAGGATAAGTCTACATAGTATAGCCTTAATAGTTTGCCATTTTTTTACGACTTGGTGTTTTAGCAGTAATAATACATTAAACCATTGTAACCATACTGAATACCACTGGCTCAGGAGGGCATTACAGTGGAATGCTAATAGAAAATCCGGGGTTTTTAGGATGCCTATTCTCTATTCATACCTATTTTGGGTTTTACCAACCTTAATTATTTTGAATCCATTTAATGTTGCCTTTTGTGGACTCATGTTTTGGTAGTGTTTTGTCATTTAAATGTCGTGTGTGTCTAATTTGGACATCTTACGGAAATTAAAGCCCATATTGAGATAATTGCCTTCAGCAATTCCCATCATTTTTGGAAAATCGTTTTTTGAAAAAAATTTTGGAAAATGATTTCTGAAACACCTGTTTTCCATGTTTTTCCATGAAACTGTACAAAGTACTACTGATTATATGATATTAGTCTGTTGGCTGTGTTACTATGAGTTACTTAATACAAGGCACTATCTAGCTTATAATTACTGAAGTTTTTCCTTTAGAAAATACTCCCTTTGTCTTAGATCTATTTTTTTTTTCCCTAGTAATTTGACACTGGCACTTTTTTTTTTTTCTTCCTCATTTCAACCTTCAGCAAAACTGAACTACTACCAACAGCCACAGGATATCCAAGAATCTGATTTTTTAAAGTTTTCAGAGAAGTATGGCAGACACTCTTTCATAGCACCATCACAAGTCCAGCCGTCGTTCTCTTCCTTTTACCGGGTAAGTTGAAAGAAAATAGCACTTTGCAGATACACTTTTACTAAAGCTGTCTGCAATGAGATCTAATGAGAACAGAGTGAAAGATTCTTGTTTTTCTACCTGTAATCTATATTACCACTCATTTACTTTCATTCCTTATTGTGTAAAAAAAAAAATCTGATTAGTTTTCTTGTATTTAAAATTTTGGACAATTCTTTAAACAAAACTGGTGTATAAAGAGAAGTATAAATTTGCCTCTGTGCCCTGATTATGTCATCATCTTGCATTTGGCTTTAGTATTCCACAGTCACTTTGTCTGTGATTTCTCCAAATTGTCTTTGCAGGCTGGGGATCCAATCCTAGTCTACTTTGATTCATCATCTGTACTGAGCACACTTAGACAGCCAGTAAAAATGGGATCCAGTGGACTTTGTGTTGATGGAAATCCTGCTGGTTAGTAGAGGGGGAAGAATTTCTCAGTGTGGTTTGCTTGTTTTATCTGTTGTTGTGTCTTAACTCAGGCTTCCTGGACAGTAAAAGCACAAGCTGTACTCGGATTTTTGCCAACTTGAGCAAGAGCTGCGTTACTGACCCTGCCCTAGATGCTGCCTCCTACTACCGTGACTTCTATGTGCTAAAGGTGCATGCTGTATTTCTTCATTTTGCTCAACATCTTATTTGCTTGACTTTCCACTGCAAATTCAGCTAACTGGAAAACTAAAGGTCACCCTGTATGTCATCCCTGATCTCCCAATTGTTAAGGCCGCCTTGCTGGAAATCCTGTTTTCAAAATAATTTCAAAATAACAGATTTATTGTTCTGGGTTCATCATGCTGGTCTTACTGAATATTAATATGAAAATATCTCCTCTTGCCTTCTCGAGTTTCTCTGGTGTTCCAGGAAAAAATGGCACTGTAAATAATAACATCTTATTAAGACTAATGATTCAGTTTACCTTATATTGGAAATCTAAAGCTACGTAACTGTAGTAGAAAGTCTTCTACTGATGAAATTTAACTCACGTTTTCAGGGCTCTCGTCACTGTGGCCCAAATTTAGTTTTTCCTTAAATGGAAGCTGAAGTAATTACTCGATTCCAGAAAGGGGAGTTCCAGGAATGGATCAAGGATGCCTGCATTCTGCAGCCCATTAACAGAACCAAGTACAAAATTTGTCTGCTGATGTTCTAAAAATGCTTTCTGTGGATTATGTCTGTGAATTCTAGATCACAAATTGATGACAAGTTTTACACATCTGTAATAAAAAAAATTTTGTCAGTGTAATATGTAGGCTGCATTTAGTGATGGCTTTATGACTTCAGGCACTTGCAAACCCAGAAAATCGGTTGTTTTTTTCGTGTTGTATGTTGGTTTGTTTGTTTTCCCCAGGTCCCAATTAATGACACCATTATGCAGTCCATGAAGGTCAGTCTCTATTGCCAATGACAATAATTTCTGCTTCTAAATTAAAACGTATCTGGAATCTTAGGCATTCATTCATTGTAATGCCCATGGGTTGGGAATGTGGGAGAATGGGAATGTTCTGTGTCCAAGACAAGATTTTTTTTTGACAGAGTGTGACATTATAGAAAAAAAAAAAATTAGGGGTGTAAGGAAAGATGTACTTTTAAATAAATGGGCATAGATAGTGCTGGAGTCAGGGAGGTAGCTTGTTTTCTTAGGAAAAAGTGAGCATGCAGTCAACATGGCTTCACCAGGGGGAAATCATGTTTGACCAATCTCTTAGCCTTTTATGAGGAAATAACATGGTGGATGGATGATGGCAGAGCGGTGGATGTGGTCTACCTTGACTTCAGCAAAGCCTTTGACACAGTCTCCCACAGCATCCTCACGGCTAAATTGAGGAAGTGTGGACTGGATGACCAGGTAGTGAGGTGGACTGCGAACTGGCTGAAGGAGAGAAGCCAGAGAGTTGTAGTCTATGGGGCTGAGTCTAGTTGGAGGCCTGTAACTAGTGGAGTGCCTCAAGGGTCAGTACTGGGACCGGTATTATTTAATATATTCATCAATGATTTAGATGAAGGAATTGAGTGTACTATCAGCAAGTTTGCTGATGACACTAAGCTGGGAGGAGTGGCTGACACGCCAGAAGGCTGTGCTGCCATCCAGCGAGACCTGGACAGGCTGGAGAGTTGGGCAGGGAATAACGGGATGAAATATAACAAGGGAAAGTGTAGAGTCCTGCATCTGGGCAGGAACAACCCCAGGCTCCAGTATAGGTTGGGAAACGACCTGCTAGAGAGCAGTGTAGGGGAGAGGGACCTGGGGGTCCTAGTGGACGACAGGATGACCATGAGCCAACACTGTGCCCTTGTGGCTAAGAAGGCCAATGGCATCCTGGGATGTATTAGAAGGGCGGTGGTTAGTAGGTCGAGAGAGGTCCTCCTTCCCCTCTACTCTGCCCTGGTGAGACCCCATCTGGAATATTGTGTCCAGTTCTGGGCCCCTCAGTTCAAGAAGGACAGGGAGCTGCTGGAGAGAGTCCAGCGCAGGGCAACCAAGATGATTAAGGGAGTGGAGCATCTCCCTTATGAGGAAAGACTGAGGGAGCTGGGTCTCTATAGTTTAGAGAAGAGGAGACTGAGGGGTGACCTTATTAGTGTCTATAAATATATAAAGGGGGAATGTCACGAGGATGGAGCCAGGGTCTACTCAGTGGCAAACAGTGATAGGACAAGGGGTAATGGGTGCAAACTGGAACACAAGAGGTTCCACTTAAACTTGAGAAGGAACTTCTTCTCAGTGAGGGTGACGGAACACTGGAACAGGCTGCCCAGGGAGGTTGTGGAGTCTCCTTCCCTGGAGACATTCAAAGCCCGCCTGGACACATTCCTGTGTAACGTTATCTAGGTGTTCCTGCTCTGGCAGGGGGATTGGACTAGATGATCTTTTGAGGTCCCTTCCAATCTCCAGCATACTGTGATACTGTGATACTGTGATCTAGAGCAGGGTGACATGTCCACATATGACAGCTACAGTAGGAAGGCAAATCTGACTTGGATAGAAAAGCAGTTGAGAAGAATAGGAAAGGCACACTCCTTTGAAACATTACTAACAGTTAACATGCCTGCTATCTCCAGATAAACGTCACTGCAGTCGCACCACCTGAAGCTCCCCAGATGAGAGACAGCACATGTATCAACGTTGTTTCTGAGGTATCTGGTCATTCTTCCCTTTGGGCAGCTCAACACTCGCTTGAAGTCATTGCCTTATTATCTTACTCTGCCTCTGATTCTTCTCTCAATTGGATTTACAGGTGATCTATGAGATAGAATACAGTGGCACACATGGGATTCAGAGTGTTTCTGTCTGGTTCAAAATGAGCAACATCTCTGGGAACTCAGGATCTGCTCTGCAGCAGCGCTTCACTTTGCACTTTTGGGTCAGTGTCCCCACCCTCCCAGGCTCTTACCAAGTTTGTGACCCAGTTTTGTACAGATGAGATGTGAAGAGTTTAGAGGAGTGGCATTGTGCTGTGGTAGTACCAGAACCCTGGGACACAGTGGTTGAAAGCAGGAGGGGACGCTTGCTCTGGTCTCAAGTAAACCCTGTTAGCAGAAAGACTCAGGCTCGGTACAAGCACGCAGCCTTGCACGGCACCAGTTGGAAGGGGTTGGCTATTTTTACCTGAATGTTTTTTGCTGTTGGTTTAATTTGGTTTGTATTTGGGTTTGCTTTTTTTGTTTGCTTGTTTGTTTTTTGGTCTTTTTGCTTTGTTTGGGTTTTTATCCTTTTTTTTTTGGTGATGTGGGTGGTTTTTTTTGTTTTGTTTCAATGGTGGGGGGGAGAAGGGGAGAGCATGAGATCGGGGTCACCGGTATGATCTTGTGAAAGAGCTGGTGGTGTGTCTGAGGTGTTCAATGTTTGTGAGCAAAGTTACTGAATTTATTCCAGGTGCTTACTTAATTTTGCCTGTGCAGTGGGAAAAAGAGCTGCTTTGGAGGGGGTGGAAATCTGGGAAATACATGTTTGAATTTCATATAAACCTTGCATCATAAAGGCAATGTAAAGTGGGATAAGTGGTGACCTCAGGGTTTGGTAAGTGTGCAGTGTAACCTTGCTGAAGGTATCCCCAGAGGCTCTCCCCATAAAACAATTTAGAAGTGGAATCTGCCACTCGGAATCAGGGTCAAGGCAGTTTGTTCTGCAGATCATCTGTAGAATTGCCCAGACTGATACATTCACTTCCTTAGAGACAAATGCTGAGCAATAGGAATTCATTGTCTCAAGAACTGTCCTAGTAGAATCCACATCTCAGGGTACTGACTTTTTTTTTTTTTTTTACCTCCTGGACTGCAGATAAACTTGCCAGGTAAGAAAGAGAATTGAAAACAAGTAATTGAGGCTTTAGTAGTGTATAATATTCAGTCATTCAAAAATGGGTTACACTTACATTTTTGAGAATGCAAATTTGATCTGACTGGTACTAATGTTTTCCCGTCTTTCTTCCCTGTGCCTCTTTGTAGACCAGAACTCTTTCTCACACATTGCCTAGAAGTGGAAACCCTGGCTATATCACTGGAGCACCACTGTTGATTACAAACAGGGGTGCAATGCAGCATGTATCCTTTCTCTGCTATCAAGTTTCGTTAGTCACTTGGTTTATTGACTTCTGGTACTCTACTGTCTGGACTTTTCAGATTCTGCTGTTACCTGTGAGGAGAGTATTACATTGCAGCCATCAGCAGCCCTTTTGGTCATGACTGAATTGCAGTCCAGCAAAAAGGATGAGGAATGTTGGGTGAGAGAATAGCTAAATACAAATTGGGTGTCCTGTATTACATCTGTTTACGCTTTTGTTTGACTTCTTGACACGCAGTCTTGTCAGATGAGCATTTTACAGAGTGAAGGTGGTGGAAGTTGCTCACAGTTCCTCCGACACACAGTACAATTTGGAAGAAATGTGAGATCAGGCTGCAAGCTCAGGTAGCAGCACACTCTGAAGTCACCTTTCCCGATGCATTTGGAAGTTGTGGACTCATTGAGCACATTTTTCTGTAGCCTGTCATGCACTGCTGTGGAACCTAGGTCCTTCCCTGAGGTCACCAATGGGTCTTTACAGATATTTCATATACTTCTTAGGGAACTTGAATGTCAGAAAGATGATGGACCTCTAGAACAGTCTGAGCGTTGTGAATGTTTTCTGAGGCTGGAGTATGGCAATGTCTTGGGCAAGAGTAAGAGTTTGTATTTGAGGAATGAAGTATAACAGAACCTTAAAAAGTGATTGTTTTGATTTGGGTAATTTTTTTTTTTGGTGGTGACAGAGCAGGTCTGAAAGCTTACAGCTCTTTAGCCATCTTACCATGTGTTACCTTGCTATGTTGTTCTTCTCCCTTCTCATTGCAGAAGGGATTGAAACTGTATCCATTTAATACCAGTTCTTCTTGTAATGATTCTGTTGACTCATTATAAGAGCAGAAGAATTGCTCATTATGAAGGAAGGATCTTTATAGCTTTTTTTTTCCTATCCTGAAAATCACTTTGTCAGAGCTGTTATTTTCTCATTTCCAGCCTATCCCCAGTACTGGAAGAAAGTAACTGTAGTTACACCCAGCAGGAGTTGTATGAGGCTTTTCAGGGGATGAAGAGAGCAGAGGACCTTGCTATAACTGGCAGTGCTCATTCAACCCAGGCAGAACAGTGGGTCACCATTCTGATTCAGAACTGCAGTGTGCAGGTAATAAGAATGCAAAATGATCAGCTGTGAATATTTTTCCTTTCTTATCTTTGCCTTGGGGAAGTGTGGGCATGGGGGAGGGGAAAGAACTAGCTTGTTCATCTAGGTTTACTTTCTTTGTGTGATGAGCCACTGACTCAGGGGTCTCAATGCCTGTAAGCAGTGATTCTTATTATGGTTCGTATTATTGTACTTGCAAAACAACACAAAACCAAACCCAACCCTGCATTCTGTTACTGCCATTTAAAAGGGAAAAAAGAATTTCAGACTCAATCCAGTGTTGTATTTGTTTTCTCACAGCCTTCTAGAATTAATACTACCTAGTCACTTCCTATTAATTAGATGGTTTTAGGATTATCCTGATTTTCCAGTTTCTGGGGATATTTATATATTACATAATAAGGGTAAAAGTTTGTGATCCAAGTACTTCTGGAGGACAGAAATTCTATTTTAATAATTATAAATCTGTCGGGAAGTGGGCTAATAGAATGCAAAATCCAAGTGGTAGTGCTGAGACAAATTCTGTTTGGAAATGAGAGGACACCGAGATGGATATAGCTCTAAAATGGGTGGTTGACTGGACCAGAAGTTACAGGGTTAGTGTTGAAGTGACTGATTTAAGATTTTGTAACATATGCTATCCAAAATATTAGACTTTGACCACAGTGGTCCTTTTTAATCTTAAAAATACTCTATTCTGATGTTTGGGTGTCTTATTTTCAGGCTGTGGATTGCACTTCCTGTTGCATGATTCCTTTGACCCTGCAGATACAGATACTGTGGACAAAAGTGGGCCTCCTGTCCAACCCACAGGCTCAAATACTGGGTGCACGATACCTCTATCAGTGTCACCCCCTGAAGGTATGGTTGTTTATGAAGCAAGGAATCAAATGGTCTTGAGATCACGGAGTTGAGAACCTTAGATGATTAAACATATTGAAAGTCAGAATGGATGGGCTCTGAGCAACCTGACATAGTGGAAAGTGTCCCTGCCTATGGCAGGGGGTTGGAACTGAATGAGATTCAAGGTCCCTTCCAGCCCAAACTACTCTGCAATACTATGATGTCAGCAGGAAGGTGGAGCTAACAGGACAATTAATAGCCTTTTTCAAGCCTGTGTGAGTGGATCCAATTTCGGTGCAGGCCCTGACAATACAATCTTTTGAGCAGCACATGTATTTCAAGGCTTATACTCCTCTACAAGGGCTTTACGGGGAGCAGCTGACACCTGCGCATGACATTCTTATGGCAGTGGGGTATGACATGGCAAGTGTGTGATCTGTTATCACACTTTGAATGTCAGACTTGTCTAAATGTGATTTTGCATCACTTACTTGGATTTGTCTCCTGGTACCTCTTCATCCTCCCTTCTTGCAACACAGAGGAAAAGAACACAATAGGAAAACGTTCACCTTGTAAAACACATGTTGCCCTGAGGCAAACTGACACCACCACCCCACAAAGTTATTTCCTAAATCTGAGCTGTTACCTGGCTCCATTAAGAAAACTTCTGTCTGAGGAAGATTTGCGCTCCTAGTGAAGGTGCAGGGTGTGTATGCCTCAGTAAGTATTAGCCAGTCAAGAACTATGAGATTTAGATTTCATCTGCTTGAGCAACTGATGCTAATTACTTTAGAGCTGTAAGGTGTATTGCAAAGCAAATGATAAAAAAGCAAGTCTGGCAGCAAGAGAAAACCACCAGTGGCAATCCACAAATTAGAGCTGCTAATAAAGACATTTTAGCACAGGTACTGGTTGGTACCATACCCAACAGTTAACATTTACAGCTATTTGTAAGCACAGCAGTGAGATCACCAATGCATGCTGTATGTTGCTTTATTTTTGAATTATGTCACTGCCCAGTTTTAGTCTACAGATTCTCTATCTGAGATCTATCCATTCTTTAGAGAAAATCTTTTCCTTTAGACTACACTCTGACACTGGAGAGTTGCCTTAGTGGCTGACCAGAAAACACAGAACCCAGGAAAAACATCCTGTTTTCTACACCCATCCACAATACCTGGTGGCAGTTACATTTGGACTTCCTGAAAATATAAGATAGTCTTAAATGATGTAGAGCTATACAGGTAAATGCTGAAAGTCACTTCTGACTGCCTTCTCCCAGCAGTTGAAGAGGAGTTGTGTATGGAGTTTTTTTCTGCATTACTCTGATCTTAAGGCATGTTCTGAAGGTCCAGTCACAAAGCCAGAATCATTCCGAGGCTTGTTGGCCAAGCTGAGGAGGCTGGTGCCTTTGAGAAGGAAGGATCGGCCAAGCTGAGGAAGCTGGTGCCTTTGAGAAGGAAGGATCAGCCAAGCTGGAAGAAGCAGAGATTCTGCAGATAACTGCTGATCACCTGAAATTGCTGCTTGTTTATCGTGTGTTTACTCATTGATAGGAGAACTTTTATTCATCAGGAGTGAAGGGATAATTCTAACAGCTAAGCCAGGGGCAGTTTGTAACTGAGGAATGAGCTGGCACTGAGTGTAAGAAGGCCCAACTGGAAGAAGGGGTGGAAGCAGGAATGCCAGAGACTGACTTCTTGCAAGGGAGTGAGATTTCCCTGGGTGATTAAGAAACAGCCTCAGCTTTGTTTTGTAGCCATCCTGGAATGGGAACACTCTGGGTCCCAGACTCAAGCGCCACCTTTGGGCAGCAGAGCTGGGCTTGGGGATAGACCCACAGCAGGGCTGATGTGCCCCATGCTGACCCGCTTTGTTTCCAGGGAGGTGAGCGAGGTGGTGATTTCACACACTGGCTTAAACCAGTGCAAGCACAGAAGGTATGCTGCCAGAGATTAGCATGCAGAAATGGGAAGCTGGGGCAAGGAGTGAGATTGCTCTTTTGACAGCAGCATGGTCTTTAGTCCCCCAAGCTGGTCATGAAACTCCAGATGGCTCAAGAAGCGAGTGTATTGGTTGTCTTGCAGCATCTGGTTGAAACAGAAAGGAACTGAGGTCTTAGACATGCAGTCCCCTGTTCTGTCTTTACCAACTGACTTACCAGTCTGTCTCCTTTCTGAAACAATATCCTAAAATGTAAGAAATGTTTTTTTTATTGAGTCCTTGCTTTATCTTATTGATGGGATCAAATCTTGTCTGCTGGCAGCAAAGGGCCAGGTGATCTTACCTTACAGAAGAAATACAATTTAATAAAAAATAAAGCTAGCTTTGCTTCTGTTCTTATTACCAGCTTCCTTGTACATCTTTTCTCTCAACAGAAGGTATACTCTAGTAGAGCTTGAGTCACTGCTTACATTCTGGAGCTCTGTAATACAATGCTCAGTAGTTACTGATCTTTGTCAAAACCTGTGTCCTCAGTTTACCTGCCAAGTATCAATCTTGGGAACGAACAGTTACTCCACTAAAAATTTTATCTGGAATACTTCTATTATCCTAAAGACACTTTGCTTGCCAGTAATCTACAGTGGGTCTCTGCTGTAGCAAACTGAAGGCCGGGGGGGGGGGGGGGGATGATTCTTTTGTATTTAGCTTGCTGAACTCTGTGCTTTCCTTCTTGTTACAGTTCCTAAACACAAGCACCGTACCTTTGACAACTGTTGTTACCTTCACTGACATGACGGAATGGCCAGAACCTCCAAGAGGCCAGCCCCAAGTACACTGGAAACTCCCATTTGACATCTTTTTCCCATTTAAGGTGGCAGTGAATTTGGAAAGAAGTTACAGAGATGATCTGGCTGGCTATTTTTTCTTGATTCTAATAATCTGTAGTATTCTCTGCTATTGAAAAGTTAAATAGCTGGGTCCTGTACTTAAAGTTTGGTAAGTGAATTTATACATTCAGAATATGATCTAGATCAGACTTTTCTCTTTGGATTCTTATGTTGTGCCTATGACATCTCTGTGCCTTCTGCTCTTGGATTAAGCTACGTGACTAGTTTCTGTCTTGTGTACTCTCACGCCCTATTATCTGTATGCACCATCTGCAAATGTTACTGCAGTGAAACACTTGAGAGATGGAGGGATGGAGAGATGTTGCACTGATGAGGAACAAGGAGGAAGATGTTGAAATGAGTATTTCATGTTCTCAGAACACAAGAGTGCTTTCTGGAAAAAGGAATCTGAAGAGAGGAGTAAAGTTCAATGCAAGCATCTTGGCATTGCATTCGTTCATCCTCCTGTTGGAGAAGCATGTGATTCTTCTACATGGAACTAACCAAACATTTAGAATTCAGGAGTCCTCCCAAGCAGACTGAAGTATTATTTTATGGGTAGACATGTCTACTGGTGACCTTTTACCTGTCCTTGTTACATGACAACCACACCTGAGTTTTTTTACTTACTGTTTTACCTTTTCAAATACAGATACCCTATTGAAATTTTTGCTTTAATCAGTGTTCACATTAGCAGTACTGTTACACAAACCATCTCTCTATGGGGTGGTCAGTTCGTTGTTATGCTGGAAATGAAGCGCAGTGAGTTTCCATTCTTGCTGTCATAGATTACAACCCCCCACCTCCCCCCAGCAAACAGAAACAGAATGAATTTCTGAAATTAAATATTCTGAGATCATTCTCCCCTTCTATAATGTAAAATGTACATAAAATGCAAAGAAAAGCTAAAGAAGTCATCTTAAAAATGTCTGTAAGCTCCTTAATGTGCTGCCACTTTCTTCAGGCACTATGTACATGATCCACTGTTACATTTGTTTGCCAAGTTATAGCCGCCGTTTTACCACCAAAGGGTTTGTAGGAAAGGAGAGGTGCCTCACGAACCGTGCTTCCAACACCTGCGTTCCTCGTCTTCCCTGTGCCACCCTTATCGCCGTGTGCCTTAAGAAAGTTACCACGAGAACACATAAACGCGATCCTGCTTCCTCACAAGATCACTTAAGAGCCGACGGAGCACGGAGCGTGTCACCGCCTCACACCGGCGGCACCTCAGCACTCCCAGCGAGCGGTATTTTCCTCCAGCGCCGCTTTATGCCCACCGGGGGCTAAAGCCGAGTCCCACCAACACCCGTCCTGCGGCGAGGAGCCGGCACCGCCGCCCGGCACAGGGGGTCTGTCCTGACCCTCGGCTTCCCCACGGCCCCGAGCCGCGGCAGGAGGCGCGAGGAGCACGCACCGCCTGTAACGGGGAAGAAGCCGCCGTTAATGCTCGAGGAACCGCTCGAACCTCGCCCCCGCAAGGCGAGCACGGCAAACGGCGCCGGCGGGGCGCAGCGACCGTCCCTTCACGCGCCCTCACCCAGTAAGGAGCCGCCGCCGCGCGGGCCACGCGGGGCGCGAGCTGCCCCCCGCCGTGTGTCGCCCCCCGCTCGCGGTAGCGGCTCGGCCACGCGGTAAGCGATCTCCGGGCTCCGCCCAACACCGCCGCGGGGAAACCGGCTCCCGCTGCCGCCGCTGTCCGTGCCCGTCCGCAGCGCCCCGCTCGCCCGAGCACCCGCCCCCAGCCGGAACAACACGGCCGCACATGCGTCCCGTGGGGCGGGGCCGGAAGCGACGCAGCGGGGGCCGTGGGCGCGGTTGGAGCGGCTGCGTCGGGCGGGTGAGTGCTGCCGCGGTGCTGGGCCGGGGTCGCGAGCTGGGGGGGGGGCCTGGTTGCGGCCCTGCCGCCGGCGGAGTTTGTGGCGGCGCCTGCGCTCGCCCGAGAGTCGCTGCCGTGAGTCGGTTCCCTGCCTGCGGCTGCAGGGTCAGGAGCGGGCTCCGTACTGCTTGCAGCGGAGGGATGGGGGCTTGCGGTGGGGGAAGCGACCTACGCCGTAACCCCTGTGGGCAGTCGCTGCAGTGCTGCCTGCTGCGGGACGCTCCCTGCGCGCCTGGTCCTCGCCAGCTTCCCAGAGCCTCGTAGGCTTTGGTTCAGATCTTGACGGCCGCAGAGCTTTGCTACTGAGTGGAGATACTGGCAGGGTGGAGTTAGGGTGAGCACCAGAGTAGGCTGCAAGCACTAGACTAGATAAGAGCTGTGTTGGCCTCATTATTCTTCGTGTTGCCCCTCTTGAGGTTTCCTTTTTCTTGCTCGTCTCCTGTGTCTACTCACAGGATTTCTCTATATCCAAAGAAAATATTCAAACCCTCCTGACACTTGCATGACACATAAAAGCGATTACCTGGGTTGTGATCTGACTCTTGGTGTTGATAAGCCGGTGTTGTTTGCTGTTTCCTCAGTGGAGATGTAACACGAGCAGATAAGAGGGTTTTTAAGAAACTTGATAGCTCCCTGAAAGAAGTAATAAAACTGTAGATAAAGGAGACTTAACGAGCAAAGCTTAGACAGTTTTCCAAAAGCCTGTGGCAAGTGTCTCTGAACTATGAAATCAAGAGGAGTTTTAATTTCTTAAATGAAAAATAACTAAAATGCTCACACAAATGCTTACGGCTGCGTTGACAGTGATGGATGCTTGGAAGTGTTTACCTTCTTTCTCTTCTCAAACTTGATGACTCTGAGAGGCAACTTATTAAGTGTTAAAGTAATGGGTTTCTTTCTTCCCTGTGTTAAAATATTTATATTTAGCCATTTCAGAAAGTACTATCTTTTGTTTTGATTTTTTGTTAAGTGCTGTTTTGTTTGCTGTACCACCTTCCCCTTCTAAACTGCTCTTTGCCGGAATTGTTATAAGAAATGTATTCAGAGGCAGAGTGAGCACCTTTCAGTTTTGCCTCAGCAGTTTTTCAGCTGCTCTTGTTGCATGTTGTATTAGTAAGAATATGAATGCAATGCTTTCTTATGTTTTTCTGCAGCATCCAGGGAAGAAAACATCTTCCCTGAGTGAAGAAGGAGAGAGTCACTGTGGATGATATTCTGAAAAGTCAATTCAAGGTGTAGTGAAAGCCAAAAAGCAAATAGAATGGCAGAAATTATCAGGTAAGGAATGAAGTGCAGATTAAAAGACTGTATCATGTAACTATATAAACCCTTGCTTTGTCCAAACTTGACTATTTTGTGCAGTTCTGGACTCTCCCTTGACTAGTATGCTGAACTCTGTTTAGGATAATTGGGGAGGTGGAGGAAGAGCAATGGAAATTATTGTACATATGAAATAGCCTTGATACAAGAACAGCAAGAGCATCCTATAATGATTTAGTAACGGCAGTGCAGACTGTGGGTCTCCCTTGGTGGTGGCAGTACTCACGTGATTGTACAGACAGGTGGATCAGTTGGTCTATGACCAGAATATTACCATGATCACTGGCAATATAGATAAAAAGCCATTTTTTTTTAATGGGGGTGGGAACCACAGCTTTGAGCAGGAGAGGTGCCAAAACTGGCACACTTCTGGTGCTAGGACAACAGCAGAAGGAGGAATGAGAGGGTGAGTGCACTGTAAGTCTGTAAAATCATGATTGGTGTGGAGAAGGTGAATAGACCCAGAGTTACACAAAGCTGGAGACTAGGAGAGTACTCAGGTAGTTTTAAGTGCTTTCTTGTCCTGATTGTGTACTTTGTCTGGGCATCTGACAGACTGCTCTTCTACTGTTGTGTTTTAATTTTCCTCATTAGGATTTGGGTGTTAGCTTAGCCTTTATAGAAACTAAATGCCATCTTTTTTCTCTCCAACCCCAAAAGAAGCACACTGTGAGGGCAGAGAACAAAAAAAAGGAAAGGTAGATAAAGGCATATGGCTTAAAAATAAGGAACTGGAGGGACTGCTGAGCTGAGCATGCATGGTTCCCCTCAGGTTGAGATGCTGATGAATACTGCTTTGAGTGGTGCTCTTCTTGTGGAAATGATAGGACAGGGGCTTAGACATAAATCCTACAGCTGGTGAGTATTTTCTAGTTTTCCTTAGGAAGTTGTGGCTGGCTGACTTAACTGTTGCCAAAAGGCAGTTGTTGAAGGGGTTCCACAATAGGGATTTGGATATGGAGAGTATGAATAGAAAGAAAATTAGGCTGAAAAAGTGCACCTAAAATTTCTGTAAGAGGTTCTGGAAGAAAGGCTGGGGTACTAAATGTAGTAGTCAGTCCTTCTCCTGAAACATTAAACAAAAGTGCTGACTTCAGTCTACCTTTTTCAGAATTTTCATTCTGTCCTTGCATGTCCCTTTCTACAGTTTCTCCTGGATACGAACATGTGTCCAAGTACCTGATTTGCATCTTGTTGCTTAGTGTCATTATTGTCACTCTACTAACCATAGCTATTAGAAATGATTATTCAGTCTTGACTGCTTTTCCTGAATGACCTTTGGCCCTTGTACAGTTTTCATTTGGGGGCTGTAGGAAAACTGGAGCAGAACTGGGCTACCAGTTCTGTGATCTTTATCCTTAACAGCTGGTGGAACTGGATGTTTTGCTGCTCAGTGCTGAAAACAGGTGGTAGAAGAAAGTAGGCAGATTTGATCAACGCAAGAGTATAGAGAGGTGATGTTAGGAGTAAGGAAATGCTTGAAAGATGCTAAGTAACCCTATCTTGAGGTTTCCTAGTGAGGATTAGTGCTTGTTTAAACGAATCTGTGTCCCTGTGTTCCTCACTTAGTAATCTTGACTAAAGCAGCTACTCTGTGTGCTTTTTATTTTGTTTTAATTAGGTGTGTGTGGGGAAATCTTTGCACAGAGATAACCTGTGTTTGTTGCAGTTGTGTCTAGGACTGAAGGTGGACTGTAGCATGTCTGCCTGCACAAACTGTTAATGCCATCAGGATGGTCCCATGCTTCTTGAAGATGGAACTCTCTTTAAGATTACTCAAGGTGTTCACTACTGTTAACCATCTGAAACCATAGTTTTCCATTGCTCACTTCCTACTATACTTGCTGTACACCGGGGTAAATAACTGATGACCAGGTAGGAACTCTAGGATCCCTTACCACTAACAAGCATCCTTCCATAAAACTACTAGTTTCGTGTGACAGAAGAGACTACCAATTTAGTTTCTGTTCATTTTCTCTTACCAATTCTTCTTCTGTTTCAGTGTCTGAAAAAAAGAAAAGCAGCTCCTCAGCATCTGCAGGGATAGAGGAGAACCTGTTGCTTTTTATTTGGAAGTACATTCAAAGAAGTTGCATGTGCTAAAAATTGGCCAGGTGAGCCTAAAATGAGGGCAGTACTGTTTCTTGTTATCTGTGACAAAAAAAAAAAAAAAAAAGCCCAAAACAATGAAGGCTTGGCTTAATGTAAAAAATCAGCTGCTGTGATTGTGAGTGACCAACATGCTGGTGTTGGAGTTGTCTTTATTCTGCAGTTATATACACTGGGTTTATCTTTGCTAATAATTGGAGTGGGAGGAGGGGAGAGCAGGGTTTATGTGCACTATGATAATGAAAGTAAAATCCACTTCTAGCAAGTGGAAATCTCTAGACAGTCTTTTAACAAAGTGATGACCTTATATTTATTTTGGGTGGCTGTTTTGGGGGTGTTGTTTTGTTTTCCCTTGTGTGGA